TGCCTGCTTTTTTCTTACTGCCATTTGCTTGGTATATTTTTTCCATCCTTTTACTTTGAGATAGTGTCCTTAAAAGTGAGATGAGTTTCTTGCAGACAACAAAAAGATGGGTTTTGTTTCTTAATCCATTCACATAGTCTGTGTCTTTTGACTGGGGAGTTCAGTCCATTAATATTTAAAGTTATTAATGAAAGATGGGCATTGAATCCTGTCATTTTTATTTCTGTTTACATTCTTGATATAGTTGTACCTATCCATAGTTATACCGTCATTGGATTTCTTTCTGCAATCCCTTGGGTATAGTCATTCTTTTCTTCAGCTCTTTGTATTGCTTCCAGAACTCTCTGAAGGGCTGTTTTTTTGGACATGAATTCCTTCAGCCTATGTATGTCATGGAAAACTTTTCTTTCCGCTTTGACTATAATAGACATTTTGGCTGGGTATAGTAATCTGGGTTGGCATCTGTGGTCATTTAAATCTGGGAATACTTTGGTCCAGGCTCTTCTGGCTTTCATAGTTTGCACTGAAAAGTCAGCTGTAATCCTAATGGGTTTTCCTTTATATATAGCTTGTTGTTTCTTTTTTCCAGCTTTCAGAATTGTCTCTTTGTTTTGCACATATCATGTTTTTACTATGCTGTGCCATGGAAAGTTTCTTTTCTGGTCCTGTCTGTTTGGTGTTCTATATGTTTCTTGTATTTGTATGGGCATGTCTTTTTTTAATGTTGGGAAATTTTCTTCCACGATTCTGTTCAAGATCTGGTCCATGCCATTATCTTGGGATTCTTCTCCTTCCTGTATGCCTATGATTAATTTTAGGGCTCAATGACAGCAGTGGAAACCTGGGGGGCTGGATAGATGGAGAACTCTAGGTTGGACTTCTTTCCATAATCAACAGAGTGCCGTTCCATCAGCAGGGAGGTGAACCCAGAGCCAGTTCCCCCACCAAAGCTGTGGAAAACCAAGAAGCCCTGAAGACCTGTGCACTGGCCAGCCAGCTTGCAAATTCGGTCCAAGACAAGGTCAATGATCTCCTCGCCAATGGTGTAATGCCCATGGGCATAGTTATTGGCAGCATCTTTGTTGCCTGTGAAGAGCTGCTCAGGGTGGAAGAGCTGGCAGTAGGTACCAGTGCGAACTTCATCAATGACCATGGTGGGTTCCAGGTCTACAAACACTGCCTTGGGCACATGCTTGCCAGCACCTGTTTCACTGTTGAAGGAGTCGTCTCCTCCCCCAATGGTCTTATTACTTGGCATTTGGCCATCAGGCTGTATGCCATGTTCCAGGCAGTAGAGCTCCCAGCAGGCGTTGCCGATCTGAACACTAGCCTGGCCAACGTGGATGGAGATGCACTCATGCATGGTGGCTACGGGTTAGGAAGCCAAGGTGACAGGGAAGACACAGTCCAGGTTACCGTCCCCAACAAGCCAAGGGTTGAGGTAAGTAATGCAATGAGGCCAAGAGAGAGATATTTTAAGAAATTGGCTCATGTGATTGTAGAGGCTGACAAGTCTAAAATCTACTGGGCAGGTCAGTGGGCTAGAAATTCAGGTAAGACTTGGTGCTGCAGCTTTGAGTTCAAAATCCATAGGTGAGGTTATGTAGGCTGGAAACTCAGGCAGGGCTCTTATGTCACAGTCTTGAGATCAAGTCCCTTTTTGGCAAACCTTGATCCTATGATTTTCACTAGAATGGATGAGATTGAATGGCACAATCTACTCCACTCAAAGTTTGCTTGGTTAAATGTTAATCAAATGTAAGAAATAGTTTCACAATAATACTGAGTGGTCTTTGACCAGGTCAGTTACAATCACTGACCTCTGAAGCTGGTAATGTTCTGCACCCACGAAAGAAAGATTGCATAAAATTCTTATAAATATTCCATCCCATGTAGAACCTGTAGTTTGGGTTTAAACAGTGTCAAACACATTTATTTATTATAGAAAACTTCTATAATGCCCAAATCAATGAACATCCTCCAAATGGAAGCTGTAGTCTGCAGAGAGATCCCTGTTGTATATAATCAAATAACTTAAAAAGGTAGGAATCAACTTTTAAAATGCATATTTTTATTGGATATTTGTGCATTCCATGCAATAGATTTTAATCATATTTGGACCCCTGCCCTATCTGCACTCCCTCATAGCCCACCCAGAGGATTTTATGCATTCTTGTCATATATGTTAAAGCCTATTGAATCAAGTATGTGTCTCCAGATGTCCCTTGGTGTGAGTTCATCCATTGGAACTTCATCAGCCTACCTATTGTCATTCCCTGAAAGAAGAGAAACTCTCCTTCACCCAGCAGAGATCAGGTGCCAATAGTTCTGCAGCTGTTGGGGCCTGCTGCCCATCACCCCAGTTCTATGGTGGCTTTTATCTGATTGAGTGTACATGGTCTTGTTTATGTTGTCACTATTACTGTAAATTCATATGAACATACACCACCCCTAGCTCTTACAATCTTTCTGTTCCCTCTTCCATAATGGTTCCTGAGTCCTGGGTAGGTGAGGCATAATATGAGTCCTATCCAGGGACACATACTCTGCAGTCTCCTATTCTCTACATTCTGGCCAGTTGTGGCCATCTGTGTTCATTGCCCTCTGTTGCATGAGGAAGATTCACTGATGAGAGTTGAGAGACACATTAGTATTCTCTCTACCCTGTGTTCCACTATGTTCTGTGAGCCTTAGTTTTAGAGAGTTCATTGTAGATGTGTCCTTTAGGGCTGTACATCTCACAGACACTTATTCTCTCTGTGTGATCAGTTATAGAATTCTATAATAGGTCTCCATCTGTTACAAATGGAAGCTTTTTTTTGATGAGTGGTGACTTACTTGTCTGTAAATACACAGATACATATTTAGCATACAGTAAGAAATTATATTTGTCTAAGGAAGTGACAGACATAGGAATTTCTCTAGGATCTATGATCTCTCCAGCTATGTGTATTTGGTTATGTTTATAGTGCCACACATGGGTTCCCTCCCATGGAGGCTTTAAGCCCAATTAGATAGCTGTTGATTACCCCCAAGATAAACATGCCAGTACTGCACTGATAGTTCGCTATGCTGGTCTTTGTTGTGGTTATTAGGTTATTAGCTGGGGTTGAGGGACTGCAGAGATTACTCAGTGATTAAGAGCACTGGCTGTTCTTGAAGAAGACCCAGGTTCGATTCCCAGCACCCACACGGCAGCTAGTAACCATTTGAAACAACAGTTCCAGGGGATCCAACACCTTCTTCTGTCCTCTGTGGGCACTGCATGACACGGGTACACTTATACACATGCAAGCATAATACTTGTACACTCTAAGTCCTGTGTTTGAAGTATGTCCTGTCTTCAGCAATAGAATCTTACCTTCAAGTTCTGGGAAGCCATCAAGGGCTGTGGCATTTTTGGAGTCTCCTGGACTACCCTGACCAACAACTCAAAGGGAGGTGTCTCCTGTCTGGCACTGTTTTCCTTGTTATATAGCCTTCAGGTATAATCATGCACTTGTGTTCAGATATTGTATGTGTATTTTTCATAATGTCCCTCTGGCTTTTTATATCACCTAAGCTTTATTTATCTCTCCTCTCTCTCTCCCTGTCTAACCTCCCTCCTCCCTCTTCAGTTTAAGTACCCCATTTCCTCCACATTTTCCCCTTAATAGTACCTGTCTCCTATTATCCCCCCTCTCTTGAGTTTCTTCTTCCCTTTTACCCCCATCGTTCCTTGTATCTTTTTAGTATTTCCACACAACTGAAGTAAGGCTGATCCTAAGTTCAGAGAAGATCTGATGATAATAATAATTTCTACTTTTTGAAAAAAAAAATTTAGCAGAGAGGTGGTGAATTGGTGATGGCTTATCAATGAGAATGCTATCAGAGTTAAGATTAATATGGGAATATCTCCAAAACTCCTTCCCAGAGAGGTGAAAACTTTTTTTAAAAAAAAGTATTTATTCATTTATTATTTTTATGTGTATGTGTGTATACCTGTGTGAGTTTATGTGTACCATATGCATGCAGGAGCCAGTGGAGGCTAGAAGAAGGTGCCAGATCCCCCAGATTTGGAGTTACAGATGATTGTGAGGTGCCATGTGGATGCTGGAAGCTGAACTGAGGTCCTCTGCAAGAGCAGCAAGAGCTCTTAACCACTGAGCCATCTCTCCAGCCCCACCAAAATCCTTCTTAGATTGATCTTTTATTCCTTGGTTAGTGGTTAGCTCAGGCAAAGGCTTCAAAAGCTATGACTTCAAAATTATTATATTTCCTTCTGAAAATAGGCAAATTTAAAAATTCATTTACATATTTATTTATTGAAAATTAGTTTATTGTATATACTCCATGGGATCACGGGCTGGGCAATAGCTCTAGTACTGCCTCCTTTATTTAAATCTTTAAATTAAATATTCCTGGGAAATTTTTGGCAATCCTACATCACAAAACATCACATAACCTTTTTCCTATTTTCTTTTATTTTTGAAGGATTAAATATCAGTTTTTATTCAATTAAGTAAGCCATTTGACCTAGTGCTTCAAATAACTGTGGCTAGGTCTGGTACATAAATTAAGGTTATTAAATTCTCTCAAGAGGTCAGATTGTGAATGCAGATAGATCAGGGCTTCGTAGAAAAGTGGATCTGGACTTTCTTTAGAAGCTAGTCATGAAAACGAGGGACTAGTTATCTATGTAGTCATCTTTTCTTGCTATAATTGCTATAACTCATTACTTGCTCTCAAATCCTCACCTCTCTACTTGTAATTTCTACTGGTAACGTCTTGCTACACAGCCCAACCTGTCCTTGAACTCAATATTACCTTAGCCTCCTAAGAACTGAGGTCACAAGTGTGTGCACCAAGCCTGGCTTCTAACTCATGATTTCTTCATTGTGCATTCTTGATATTTCTCAAGATTTTAAAGTGGAACAAACCACATAAGCTATTAAATTTTTTTTTATTAGTCAATTTTGGCATTTTCTGTTTTATTTTGAGACACAGTTTTGCTATGTAGCTCAGGGTGCTTTAATCTCAGTATCATTCTGTCCCTGTCTCCTGAGTGCAGGAATTACAGATATGGACAACCATACCTGGTTCAACTGTAGCAGTTTCTAGGATTTCAGTGCTATCTCTGCTTGGTTCTAACATTTCAGGAGCTTGTGATCAAGGCCATATTCTCTTCACTGCTAATTTTCATGTTTATCTGATGTTCTATCATGTCCACTTTTACTCTCCATCTCCCCCTGGGGAGTCCAGGCCACAGGCCATGCATTCTTGTAGTTGCCTTCTTTTCTGTCTCTGCTGTTTACTATCCACTCCTATATCCTATCTCCTCCGCTTTAAATATCACCAAATAAAGTTTCTTCTCCCAAGGTGGCAACCCTGAGGCATGGTTATTTTAGATTGAGCTGGAATTGTAAAAATGCTTTTAGATATCTGTCCATTTCTTTTAGGTTTTCAAATTTAGTAGCATAGGTTTTTGGCAGATTGGTAAGTAAAAGACAGAACCAGGATCAGAGGGACCTAATGTTTGAAGAAACAGAGGCTTTTGACCCAAAATTATGCAATGTCATGGAAGAATTATTTTCGTGGTCACGATACTTAGATTTCATAGTTCTTTCATTTTTGGCTATAAAGAGTTTCTCACAAAGTTATTCAAAACTGTCTGCTTCGATGTTTGAGACATGAATGAGAATTTGAGTAAGCCTGGCCACACTGCCACCTGTGGGTCCCAATCTCTCCATATTTTGGTGATGCTTTTCATCTGTTCTTTCTATTGACATAGGCAATACTAGTAATTCTACCAGCTGTCTTTCCAGTATGAAATGAGGGACTAGTTATCTAGTTGGCTCATGGAGAAAAGGGAAAACAGAGTTTCTTTAGTGTCCTTGGGACATTGGTCCTCCCATAGATACCCCAATATGTGGATGCCCAAGTCCCCTACATGAAATAGCATAGTATTTACATATAACCCACCCATGCCTTCTCAGATACTTTGAATCATCTCTAAATTATTTATAATACCTAAAATGTAAATGTTAAATAAATAGTTGCCATTCTATGATGCTGAGGGAATAATAATAATAAAAAGCCTGTACATATTCAGTTCAGACACAATTTTTTCCCAAATATTTTTGACCCACAATTTTTTGGCTCCATGGATGTGGAACTCATAGATATACAGGGTTGATTGTACATGGTTCAAAACAAATTGTACTGGAAACATCTCACATTCTCCTTGTAGGGACATAGAAGGGAAGGGTATTATATTAGCCATTACTTATTTTTTACAGAAGGCTTTGTGGTCTGATTACTCAGAAACATCTACAGCTCTCCCTACCTAACCAAATAAAACCCAAAGGGTTTGTGTTGGCATTT